GGCAACTTTGTGAAATGCACCGCGCGTATTGTTAGTGGTATTTATAGATCTTGTATTCGTTGTAACTATATGTCATAGTGATGCAAGCAAAAGCCTAGGACCAACACATACAACACCAACACAATCCATATCTACAAGTGATCCATCTAACATATTCCAACCAAACCCAATCCTCACTTCGCCTTCCCACCAGCCCTCTCCCTAATCCTCTCGTCCTTCTCAAACCTCTCCTCAAACATCCTATAGAACAAGCCAAGCCACTCCTTCTCGCGATCACTCAGCTGACGCGCAGGGTTCTTCCAGCTATTCGCCAGTATCTCCTTGATACGGCGTCTCAAAACCTTCAGCGCGACAGCAGCCCGCCATTCACGAACTGCGAAGCGGATGACGTTGCCGGGTAGACTGATCACGCCTGCATGGAGCTTGAAGTCCATGTCGGCAGCGACCATGAGTACCATGGGAAGTGGGTAGGCGATTGAGGTGGAGTGCGCGTTGTAGAACTTGTTGCTGGATTGCATGATGTTGTAGTAGGATAGGAAGTCGGCTGTTCGCGAGCCTTTGTTGACGGAGGTTGGCCCTAGGCTGACGGTTTGGTTGTTTGAGATGTTTCGCCAGCCCTTGCCTTCGCGGGTCAGGATCTTGGGGTAGAATGCTGTAGCGATGACTGAGTTGACTAGAACATCGTTGTCGGTGTGGATGTCGTATTGTGCTGGCACCTCAACGAAGACACGGTGGCGTGTCGTATTCCGGTAGCGGCCTATCGCGCGACGCTCGTCGGGCGTAAGTTGTATGAACCCAGCGTCAACCAATGACGAGAAGAGCTGCGCTTTGAGATCCTCGATATTGCCCAGGTTTTGCGGACTGAGAAAGTTCTTGTGGCAGAATTGCATCTCGGACCGTCCCGGGGTAGTGCATACTGCTTTCCAAGCCCTGTAGGCGTTGTAAGTTGTCAGGAGGTCGGAGTCGCCCTTCTTGAACGCAACGCGAGCGATGTCAGCTCGTTGCTTTTGTTGAAATGGTGTCAAGAACGGGGATTTCGAAGAGACAATGGCAGCAATGGTAATAGCAACATCAACACAAGCGAAAGTACTTGCAAGCAGTACAAGCTTGCCCAAGTGCGCGTCCAACGGAAGTTTCGCAATCTGGCGACCAAGAGGTGTCAGTTCTTCGCTCGGCGTTAACGCATCGACCTCTACAAGTGCATCGATAGCACGACGAATGTTCCTGGAGGAGGGTGGATCGAGTGCCTGAGCAAGGGTGGCTTCGATATCACCGAGCTTGCAAATCTTGACGCGCATGACCAAATCCTGTAGCGAAAGTCTGAGCATTTCGGGGGTTTGCTGTTCTGCCATGAGGCTGTCGTGACGGAATTTTGTGAAAAGATGGAAGCACAGGCCCTCTTGTACACGGCCGGCACGACCACGGCGTTGCTTTGCGTTCGCTCTCGAGATGAAGGACTGAGTCAGACGTGATAGCTGTCTGCGCTCGTCAAACCTCATCTCCTTATGTTTACCAGTGTCGACAACACAGGTGATATCCGGGATCGTGACTCCGGTTTCGGCGATGTTGGTAGCGAGCACGATCTTGCGTACGCCCGGAGGTGGAACAAGGAACGCAGCTTGCTGATCCTCACTCGAAATGGTGGAGTGTAGCGGGTACACATACCAGTCAACCTTGAAAGAAGGATGACTGGCCAGTATATCGTTGAGTTGACGAATCTCAGCAAGTCCCGGGAGGAAAACCAAGATAGCGCTGCTGAAGCGACTCAGCTGCGGATCAAACGCGACCGTCTCGATCAATCGTGTGATCAGGTCGTAGTCAATGGCATACTCGTCGTAGTTAGAAAGCACATCGCGTGTTAGTTGGCTGTAACCTGGAAGCTTGTTCGGAATACCGGATTTGTCGCTCGTAATCCCGTCATCCTCGTCGTTGTCGCTCGTGGCGGCAGCTTTGGTCGCGTCGGATGCTCCAGCGTAATGAGTCAACTCGACCGCATCCTCCAGGTATCGAGTCTGAACCGGGAAGGTGCGACCTGGTACTGTCAGGATCGGTGCGTCGTTCAGGTACCTTGAGAAGCGTGCGGCATCTACGGTGGCACTCATCAGTATGACCTTGAGTTCAGGTCGGCGTTCCATGAGTGACCGAAGTATGACCAGAAGGAAATCCGTGTCGATGGATCTTTCATGAACCTCGTCAATGACCAGATGTGTGACCTCTTGTAAGCCTCCAGATGACTCTAGCATTCTTAATACCACACCCACCGTCGCGTACACCAAGCGAGTCTGGGAGGAAGTCTTTGACTCAAGCCGAATTGCGTAACCGACAAGTGAACGTATGGATCCTAGATCTTTGGGTCCTTCGCCTAGTTCCTCGCTCACACGTTGGGCAAGCGAAATCGCCGAGATACGTCGGGGCTCGGTGCAGTAGACTTTGCATGCCTTGCCTTGCGATAGCTCGTGCTCGAGGACGAAGGCGGGAATTTGCGTACTCTTTCCGCAGCCAGTCTCACCGCAGATTATGGTGACCTGGTTCTTGCCCACAGTGGATAAAATCTCATCCCTAAAGTTGAAGACTGGGAGGTTCATTCGACCAACGAGCATGCGCTGGTATGATGGGGTTGATGCTTTGGCGAACCATTGCTCTCTCAGACCGTCGTAGTGCCGTACCGGTGTGCTATAGCCAGAGTTAGATGTGCTAGAGCTTGTCGCGGCCTGATTGCGCGCCTTGAAGCGATTCGTAAGCACAACACCGTCCGACTCTTCGTTCTCGATCTGATCTTCTATGATTGAGCGATAGTGTTTGATAGCATCACGATCTGCTGCATCTAGACGTGTCTTTCGTCGCTCCAAGAACTCCCTGTAGACCTCCCTCCAGTTGGCCGGAAGGCGTAGATATACCTTTTCCTCCTTTAGCAGGGAGGCAGATATCGAGAAGAGGGCGGCGACAGAGATGAAGCTTTCACTCTGCTCAACGGATACGGCAGCGATTTCGTTCGCTGCCAGCGTGACCTGCTTTCTGTACGGAGTACAGACCACACCGGAAATTTCCGTGTCGTACTCGAAGTCTTGTTCCTTAGACCAGAAGATTGTCAGCGAGTGCCGGCACGTATACGTAGTAGGCGAGATCATTTTATAAGTCAACCGTGCACCAGCATCCCTGGATCTGTTAGTGATTATCGGAAGAAGTAGTCGAATGACCTACCTTGATCGAACTGCCTCTTCGAGCACTTTGCGGGGGGACATTCCGCTCATCTTGCCAAAGTCGCGCAGGGTTATATTGTCAGCACTTGAACCATTGGATGTATTCTCTGGGGCAGGCGTTGCGTCAGGCACTGCGGAAAACATGCCTCCGAGCAGATCAGCATCCTCTTCGCCTTCGTGCTCGCTTGGAGGTTTCGACGATGCGGCAGTAGCTTCAGCCTTGGCCGACACGGGAGTGTCGAGGGAGGTGTCTTTGGTCTGCACGGGCGAATCACTGGGCTGTGCGTCCTGACGTTGCCTCTTTTCGGCTTGACTTTGTGCAATTTGGTTACGCTTCGCGGGCCACTGTGCTTCAGCTTGGTCTTCGTCAAAGAGGGCATCGGAGGTCAGTTGTTGCAACTGAGAAAGCAACTTCCGAACAGCCGGAGTCTGAGGTGGCGTAGGCGCCGACTTCTTAGATTTTCCACCTTTTTGCGACTTCCGTACTGGGGCATCGACTAGTTGAGGATCGATTTCGAATAGTTTGCCCTTGATCTTGAGATACGCTGGAATGAGCTCATCGAGTTCGAGGTCGCTATCAAGGTCACTAACGTCAATGTTAGAGTCATCAGAATCCGCCGGTACCGAGGCATGGAGGGCTGCTGCGGAAGGTGAGGGTCCAGTTGCGGTTGCTCCGTTCGCTGATGGCTGGGGCGGCGGTGTGGTTGGCCGAGAAGTGTCAATATCTTCGAGTGTTGAACGCTTAGGCTGTGATTCTTCGTAAGAAAAGGAGTGATCCTCGCATTGGTCCAAGGCAAGCCATTCCAGCGCTTCTTGAAGCCCCCATACACCAGAGGATGCATCGACACCGGCAGCGTTGGCACATAGCCATCTCAGAACGGGCTGGATTTGGTCTTGTGAGAAGCCTAGCTCACGTAGGGTAAGATCAAGGGTCCAGAGCTTAGACATGGCATCCTCTTCAGTCAGGGTCTTAAGCAGGGACTGTTGCCCTTGTCTCCTGTTCGAGTCATTCGACTCGGCCTGGGCGAGGAGGATAATGCTATCTAAGATTTCGCTGGGAAGCCAGTCGTGCACAGTCATGGCGTGCGACTGGCCGCGGAGGAGCCTACGGTCTGTCTGGAATTTTGAGACATGTCGACTAGATTCGCGGCGGACCTTGGGCGCATGCTTCTCAACAAGCAGCTGAAGTTCATCACGCTCTAGTTGGGCTTCCAGTTCCTCTGGAGTGGGCGCGACTTCTGGCTTGACCGCCTCGGTCTGCTGGGACGTCTGGAGTACCTCCGTGGGTTCTGGTGCAGGCGCGGCTTCCTTTGACGGCACCGGGGCGACTACCTTGGCGGGGACGTCTGGGGAAATTCTTTCAGGCTTTGGCTTACTCGCGACGGACGTCGTTGCAAATCCACGTGCGGGGTTGCCGGCGGGCTTCTTTTTCTTCGCCATGGCAAAAACTCTTAGTTTGGTTGAGTGGTGGTAATGTGAGGTGCAGGGGTCTCAGGCGGGCTTCCGTATAGAGTATATCGGGGCTTGATCCCGGGCGAGATCAAGATTGGGCGAGTTGTCGTAGGTTATTGGACGCATAGGGCGCAACGGTTCCAAGAGGGGCGGTCGGTGGTGGTCGAGGGCGCAGGCCAGTGGGTTTGGTGGTGGAAGGGCGCTCCACACCTTGTGGAGGCAGGAGCGAGGCGATGTCATTGCCCTAGCAAATAAACGAGAACTCTTGGCGCATCATTTCGCGATATCGACGCCGACACGCAACCCCGCCAACACCCCGCACCCGCCTTCACATGTGGACTGATAGACATGGCTGTGAATGGGGACGCTGAGTCGCGGGCAATCCACCGCGACGAGCTGCGGCCGAAGCTCATAACGAGCTCCACCAAGCGCCGCGTCAACGAGCTCTCGGGGCTGCAGACCAAGGTCGCAGACGACTGTGAGTGTCTCTGGGGACTGCACGTGGAAGCGAACGATGGCTGACTCAACAATCTTCCTGTAGCCCTCGTCACTGCCGACCTCCAAGCGCTCCTCGAACTCCTCTTCGAAACATATCCGCTATACGACGACCGCGAATCACGCCGCGCGGTCGAGGGCGTCCTCAAGTCGCTGGTGAACGGACCCCATGGCGACAAAGTGCTGCCCCCGGTGGTCAAGTTCTTGACGCAGGAATGCTCCAAGAAGGCCATTGCGCACGCCAATGCCTTTGTGCTCAACGACTGGTGTTCGGTGCTGCTGCTGCAGTTTGCAAAGTCGCCTGAACAGTGGGCCAAGCTCGGCCTGGATGTGGCGCTGGCAAATGCGCGCGTACTCGAGACGTGCGTGAGCGCTGGGGGCGACCGGCGAGCTGGCCGCCTCTCCATAGCGGCTCTCGTTTCGACGCGCCGGGCCCTGCGCGCCATCTTCCGCTCCGAGGCAATTGGCAACGACGCCCTCGACAAACTCGTCACGAACCTCACTGCAAAGGGCAGCGCGCCCACAGCTGGAAATGCTGTCTTCCTCGGCGTCATCGCTGGCGTCTCATCCCGTCTACCGACCGTCAAGCCGCTCCTCGAAGGCCGCAAACAAGACTACTACACCTACTACACACGAGAGATTGTCGGATCAAGGAGCCAGCTGCCGGACCACATCTCCAATGCGTTACACGATTTCTTCGACAGCTTCCCTACTCTGGAGGAGCTGCGAAAGGATGTCATACCACCCATTGAAAAGGCCTTGCTGAGAGCACCTGAAGTAGTACTGAACGACATTGTCTCACCCATGTTCCTGGCCCTCCCCGAATCTATGGATCTCTCCGATATTTTGCTAGGAAACATGCTGAAGCCGCTGCTTTCCAATGTCAAATCGAGCAATGCTGCCATTCGCGCAGGCGCTTTGCGAACATTCAAAGCGTTGGCTTCGAGATCAAAAGATGATGCCAAGATTGACAAGGTCGCAGACGAAGTGCTTACTCCTTTGAAGCAAGGCAAAGTTTCCGGTGCTGACCAGAAGGTCCTTCATGCTCAGATGCTCTCAGCGCTACCAGCGTCAATAGCCCTAGCAAAGAAGATCCCAGCAGGTATCGCTCCGGTAGCCTTGAAGGAGCCGAGTGAGCCAGCTGTCGTAGCTGAAGTGTCCGCAATTACAACCCACCTGAACTTTGGTCTAGCGAACGGAGGTGCTCTTGACAAGGCCGTCTCAGATGCCTTCATTAAGGGCATGGCCGATAAACGCGTACCCGTCAAGAAGCTTTGGGCAATCCGCGCAGCAGACCTTTGGTGGAATCTGTCCGATGAACAGCAAGCTCAACCCGACGTACTTGCGTTCTGCCAAACAACTCTGCCGAAGCTCGTTGAGATCTGGCAGGAAGTTAATGCAAACCCGCTGCCTGCGACCCAGAGTGGCTTGATCACGGTAGGACACTACACTGTCGCGCTCCTCATCGATAGAGTACAGAACATGAAGGACGAGAAGTTGGGATCCATCTATAAGAAATCTGATGTCATCTCGCAGTCGCTCGCCACCCAACCAAAGCCTTCCATCCTTCTCAATCCCAAAGTGTATTCGAAATTGTCTTCAGAAGAGGACGTTTCCCTTGCACTACGCGCCTTGAAGGCCATTGCGCCAGACGTTACACAAGCTTCCAAAGAAGTCGCAGATGCATGGGCACAGGCGTTCATCTTCCTCATCGTCGCTCCCAGCGTCTCCGCCAAGGCGAAGGCGGCTGCTAAGCAGGCTTTGACACAAGCATATCTTCAAACCTCGCCCGAGAAGATCAGCAACATCACAATAGAAGGATTGTGGTCGTGGTATAGGTCGAGTGAACAGGAAGATAAGGAGAGCGCTGCGTTCGCATCCAAGGCAGGTTCAGCTGAGCTTGGCGCTGTATTGAGCTGCATATGTCTGCCTGCAGAGACAGTGAAGAAAGAGAACGCAAGTGTGGACATTGTGGCTCTACAACAACAGGCCATGCGTCTCGTTGTATTGGCACGAAAAGAGATTATGCCAAGAGTGTCTTGGATTGATCTGTGCCTTCGCATGGGTGTAGATCCCGGACAGGTCGTCCGGGATAACTTGCAAGACTTTGTGAGCACTATTAACGAAGCAACAGAGGTATTCTTGCTCAACCGTCGATCTTTTCAATGAACTATCACTAACGTCCGACACAGAACAAAGACAATGAGAAACTACCCGCCATCGATGCAGCAGCCTACAGCGCTTACACCGACATGGCTTTCGTAGCGCCAGAGGCCGCTCTGCCGGCAGTGGTCAAGCAGTTCAGTCAAGACCTCGATCCAAAGCAGATGGAATCTGTAGGACCGACCGAAGCAGCCATCTTCCGTACACCAGAGGGCACAGCGTATATCGACGTCCTTTCGAAGAAAGCACCTGTGGTAATCGACAAGAACACGAAAGACTACGATACCCTGAAGTGGGAAGAAGAGCTACGAGCACAGCTTGCACAAAAGAAGGGCCAAGCCAAGAAGCTGAGCGCAGACGACCAAGCCAAGGTCAACGCCCAGCTGGCTAAAGAGTCCGCTATCAGGAAAGAAGTGACTGGCACAGAGCACAGAATGAGGCGAGGTGTGGGCATCATCCGGAGTCTCGCTACCGGACCTCCGACAGAGGCGGAGCAATGGATGGGACCTGCCGTGGATCTCTTGATCCAAGCCATTCGTGCTGGTGCTGGTCTTCTGCTGGGAGACGTTCCAGCGACTGCTTTGATCTCGTGCTCCGAGCGGGTATCCAACCGTCTGGGCATGATGCGACCATTCATTGGCGTAGCAGTACTGCGAACAATCGGTTCTATACAGCTTGCTAGCGAGTATGAAGACGAGGATCTTGGCGGTAAGTACCCTTCGACCAATAGTTCAGCTTTGAACCTTGTTGATGATCTTAGATCTGGTAACACGCGTCCTCTACCGTCTTCGGTTCTTGAGCGAACAGAGGCCGCTCGATGCAGTATCTTTGGCGTACTGCTTCCCTCTGCTTTTCCTTGTACTAGAAAAGGGTGGTATTGGCAAGTCTGCGCCCGAAGAAGCTGACGAGCAGCTGATCCTGGCTATCGAAGTGCTGACTTTCCACACCAACTCCTGTGAGTTCTTTAAGCACGAACACTGATACCTTGCTGACACCTCTGAAAGGTACTGACCCTCGTCTCCCCCGCAAAGCCTTACTGGAGATTCTGGTATGGTCCATGCAGAAATACCAGCAGCATTACAAGATAATCAAGGACTGCGTGACCAATCTCGCTAGCGGACTGGCCCCCAATATCACTAACGATGAGCTGGGCGCCTTGCTGCGTGGTACCATCGTGCCGGAAACTGGTGTCCGAACCGCGGTTTTGCAAGCCATTGACGCTGAACTCGACATGAACGACCTCACCTTCAGTGAAGAGATCTTCATCGCTTGTCACGATGATGAGTCTGAGAATGCTGAGCTGGCCCGAACAATTTGGGACGAAAACGACCTAGAGCTTAAAGCAGATGCTGGCGTACAGATGTTGCCTTACCTGGACTCTCTCGACAAGCCACTCAGAAGGGCAACCGCACGAGCTATTGGCGAAGTCATTACCAAATTCCCGGACACGTTTGGCGATATTCTACGGAGATTGCGCGAGACCTACGCCGAAAAAGCCAAGCCACGCGTCCCGGAGCGTGATGAGTACGGCATGCCACGAAAGGTCGATCTTCGCGACCCTTGGGAGAGTAGAGACGGTATTGCGCTTGCCTTCAAGGAGATGACACCAGGTTTCAAGCCCGATGACCTTGTAGACTTCTTAAACTTCCTGATCTACGAGGGCCCCTTGGGAGACCGAAGTCCCGCGGTCAGAGATGAGTTGATCGAAGCTGCGACTTCAGTCATCACCGTCAAAGCGCAAACCAAGGTCGAGCCTCTCATGGAACTATTCGAGAACGCTCTTGAAGCCCCTGATCGAAAGTCGGAGATGTACGATCAAGTCAACGAAGCAGTCATCATTCTTTATGGTGCACTGGGTCGTCATCTTGCGGCTGGCGATGAGCGCGTTCCAAAGGTCGTACAGAGACTTTTGGCAACTCTCAGTACGCCTTCCGAGACAGTGCAATACGCCGTTGCCCAATGTCTGCCACCGCTGGTCCGTACTTCCGAGCAAGAGGTGTCGAATTACATCAATCAGATGATGGATCAACTACTCACTTCAAAGAAGTATGCTTCGCGTCGCGGTGCTGCCTATGGTCTGGCGGGTGTCGTACGCGGTAAGGGTCTGGGTCTGCTCAAAGAACATCGGATCATGTCCACCCTCAAAGGAGCTAGCGAGAACAAGAAAGACATAAACCAAAGGCAGGGAGTATACCTGGCATACGAGCTCTTCTCGCTGATCCTCGGTCGCTTGTTCGAACCATATGTCATCCAGCTAGTGCCTCAATTGCTTGCTGGATTCGGCGATACCAGTGCAGACGTCCGAGAAGCCTGTCTCGATGCTGCCAAGACTTGCTTCTCCACGCTCAGTTCCTTTGGTGTCAAACAGGTTCTACCAATCCTCTTGGAAGGTCTTGATGAGGATCAGTGGCGTAGTAAGAAGGGTGCTTGTGACTCTTTGGGAGCCATGGCATATCTCGATCCTAACCAGCTGGCTCTTAGCTTGCCCGATATCATTCCACCCCTCACCGTTGTGTTGACAGACAGCCACAAAGAAGTCCGATCTTCAGCAAACCGAAGTTTGCAGCGCTTCGGTGAAGTCATCAGCAATCCTGAGATCAAGAGCGTCGTCAACATCATCTTGAAGGCTCTCAGCGACCCGACAAAGTACACAGACGATGCCCTCGATGCTCTGATCAAGATCCAGTTCGCACATTTCCTCGATGCGCCTTCTCTCGCTCTCGTTGTGCGAATTCTGGAGCGTGGTTTGGGCGATCGCTCTGGAACCAAGCGGAAGTCCTCACAAATCATCGGCAGCTTGGCATACCTCTCAGAAAGGAAGGACCTCACCTCCCATCTGCCAATCTTGGTCGCTGGACTACGGGTTGCGATCGTGGACCCTGTACCGGCTACACGTGCTACCGCCTCAAAAGCGCTCGGTTCGCTCGTCGAAAAGCTTGGAGAGGATGCGCTGCCAGATCTTATTCCAAGTCTCATGTCTACGCTCAAGTCCGACACGGGTGCAGGAGATCGACTTGGTTCTGCCCAAGCTCTGTCAGAAGTTCTTGCAGGTCTTGGAACAGGACGCCTGGAAGAGACACTGCCAAGCATCCTGCAAAACGTGGCCAGCAGCAGAGCTTCTGTGCGCGAAGGTTTCATGTCTCTGTTCATCTTCTTGCCAGTTTGCTTCGGAAACAGTTTCGCCAACTACCTCAGCAAGATCATTCCTCCCATTCTCGGCGGTCTTGCGGACGAAGTGGAATCGATCCGAGAAACTGCCCTGCGAGCTGGTCGTCTCTTGGTCAAGAACTTTGCCACCAAGGCAATCGACCTGCTACTACCAGAGCTTGAGAGGGGTCTCGCAGACGACAGCTACAGGATTCGTCTCAGTTCCGTGGAGCTTGTGGGAGATTTACTGTTCAACCTCACAGGTATCAGCGGCAAGGTGGAAGAGGAAGAGGTCGAAGAGGGCGCGAAAGAGGCTGGTCAATCGCTACTCGAAGTCCTCGGAGAAGAAAAGCGCAACAAGGTCCTGTCTGCTCTATACATTTGCAGATTCGACACGTCTGGCCTTGTACGAACAGCCTCCATCAACGTATGGAAGGCATTGGTGGCCAGTCCTCGTACTCTGCGCGAGCTTATTCCTACGCTTACTCAACTTCTCATCCGCCGTCTGGCAAGCTCAAACATGGAGCAGAAGGTCATCGCCGGAAACGCGCTGGGAGAGCTCATTCGCAAAGCTGGAGACGGTGTACTTGCTACGTTGTTGCCCACCCTCGAGGAAGGTCTACATACCACCGATACAGACGCCAAGCAGGGTATCTGCATCGCCCTTCGCGAAATCATCGCAGCTGCTTCGCCAGAGCAACTTGAGGACTACGAGAAGACTCTTATCCAAGTTGTACGGACTGCTCTGGTGGATCCCAACGCGGATGTGCGAGAAGCAGCGGCGGAAGCCTTCGACGCTCTACAACAAATCTTTGGCAAGAGGGCTGTCGACCAGGTCCTACCTTACCTGCTCAATCTTCTGCGTTCGGACGACGATGCGCAAAACGCCCTATCAGCGCTTCTCACCCTCCTCACAGATCAACAACGATCAAACATCATTCTACCAAATCTCCTACCAACACTTCTCACTTCGCCTATGACTGCCTTCAATGCCCGCGCTATTGCATCGTTGGCTGAGGTGGCAAGCTCCGCTATGACCCGACGACTGCCCAACATCCTCAACACCATCATGGACAATGTCATCGCTTCCAAGGACGAAGAGCTCCGGTCAGAACTCGAGACGTCGTTTGACAAGGTACTCCTATCCGTGGATGAGTTCGATGGTCTTAATACGGCCATGAGCGTCATGCTTGCCTTGTCGAAACATGACGATGAGCGGAGACGCGCACGTGCCGATATTCACCTGGCTAAATTCTTCGCAGAGGCAGACGTTGATTTCTCAAGATACTACCCTGACCTCATACGGGCACTTCTCATCTCCTTTGGCGACAGTGATACGGAAGTTGTCAAGGCTGCATGGACTGCCCTCAGCACCCTTACAAGCAAACGTCTGCGAAAGGAAGAAATGGAATCACTAGTCATCTCTACTCGTCAGACACTCAACCAAGTCGGTGTTGCTGGTGCAGACCTCCCTGGATTCTCACTCCCCAAGGGTATCAACGCCATCCTGCCTATTTTCCTGCAGGGTCTCATGAACGGATCAGTGGACCAGAGAACTCAAGCTGCGCTGGCCATCTCCGACGTCATCGACCGCACCAGCGCGAAGTCACTCCAGCCGTTTGTTACTCAGATTACAGGACCCCTCATTCGTGTGGTCACAGAGCGCTCTGTCGAGGTGAAGGCAGCTATTCTGCTCACACTCAACAACCTGCTAGAGAAGATCCCGACCTTCCTCAAGCCCTTCTTGCCCCAACTCCAGCGCACATTCGCCAAGTCGCTTGCCGATACATCGTCGGATGTGTTGCGAGCGCGAGCAGCCAAGGCTCTTGGTACATTGATCAAGCTTACACCAAGGGTGGACCCACTCATCGCTGAGTTGGTGACGGGATCCAAGACGAGCGACGAAAACGTCAAGACGGCTATGCTGAAGGCCTTGTTTGAGGTGGTAAGCAAGGCAGGCAAGAACATGAGCGAAGCAAGCAGGAACGCCATCCTAGGTCTCATCGACAACGAGAGCGATGATTCTAATGGTAAGTTTAGACTGATTCTGATCCTGCTTAGTGTAACTAACATGGGGTAGATGCAATGGCGATTACAAACGCACGACTTCTGGGTGCCCTCATCAGCTGCCTTCCAGAAGATGTCGCGTCCAGTCTTCTCAAGGCTCGCGTGCTTACGACACACTACAACAAATCTTCTGTACTGGCGCTCAATGCCATTCTGCTAGATGCTCCCGAGGCTCTGACAGAATCGTTTGCAGACGAGACTGTGAATGTCATCTGCCAGGGTGTTGGACATTCGCAACCGTTCATCTCGGATAACTCGATCCTCGCCGCTGGCAAATACCTTCTATCAGAGAAGAGCAGCAAGAGCTTTGACCACACCAAGCCAATCTTCGAGGCCCTTGCCCCAGTAGTCGAACCCGGTCATCCCGTCGATACGAGGCGTTTAGCGCTTGTGGTGCTTCGCACAGTTGCGCGAGAGCACAACGAGCTGATCCGTCCGCACATCCCGCTCCTCATACCGGTGGTCTTCGCGTCGGTGCGCGACCCGGTGATCCCAGTCAAGCTGTCGGCTGAAGCGGCGTTCCTTGCCATCTTCTCGGTGGTGGACGAAGAGACGGCCGTATTCGACAAGTACATGGCTGGACCTGGCAAGAGCCTGTCTGCTGGTCAACAGCGCAGCATGGGCGACTACTTCAAGAGGGTTGCCATGAGGCTAGCTGGGCAAGCCAGGGAGAGGAAGGAGGCCGAAGGTGGAGCAGGCGGTCTCGGCTTGTCGAGCGACGAGATGGAAGATGAGCGAGAGATTTGGAGCGTAGGGAAAGTGGAGTTGGGAGATGTGTTTGGTGAAAACTAGCAATGTGGTACAATGGCTGGGATGGTGTACATGGCCTAAAAGCGACTGCACTAGCATTGGGACGGAGCGCATTTGAAAACGAATCATGTTAGTATATACGTGCAGAGCGAATGAAAGTTACATTGAATGTTCTGGGACCGAAAGGAAGGGTGCATGTGGTGGAGGTTTCATGGGGCTCGTGGAAGTTGTTAGGCTGCCCCAGCATCAACTCCGCAAACCCCCGAGCTCTGACCTCACGCTCTCCACGACTGCATGCTTGTCCATCAGCGTAGGCCCCGCACAACGCCTGCTGTCCTTGCCCGCCATCGGGGCCCATCATTGCATACGCGTGCGATCCCGCTGGCACTCTTGAAGCGTCGCGCAGACCCCGGCGTCGCTCTCCCGCCGCCCTCAGCCTTCTCCACAGCCCGCACGCGCATCTGTCCAACGCGCGACGACCTCGCAACGCGCACATCACGACGCATTGAGCGCCACCACGGCGCGCTTCCACCGCCATCATGGCAGGCACCATACGGCCCAATGACATGAATGTCTCCACCACGCCGACGCTCTCGTCGGGCACCCTGCCCAGCCTCACATCTCTCCAGACGGACCTCACCAAGAAGCCCAACGCGCCGCGCGCCCCCCGTGTCGACGTCGAGCCCCTGTACGCCGCAGTCAAAGGCTCCATAAGCGACGCAGACTGGACCATCTACAAGAAAGCCCTGTCCTTCTTTCTCCTCGGCAACCTCAACCAGGAGGAGCTGTCCCACAAGCTGTCCAAGATCCTCACCACGCCCGCCCTCGAACACGCGCACAATGCGCTCTTCACGGCTATATACGCTAACATATGGCGCGACCCGCCCGAAGCAGGCATCGCCAGTTGGGTGTCGAGTAGCGATAAGCCGACTAGCGGGACGGTCAAGGGGACAGGGGACGAGAGCGAGAAGAGACTCAAGCACGAGGTTATGCAATTGAGTCGGAGGGAGAGGAAGAGGCTGAAGGGTATACCGGCAGGCGAGAGCCCGCTGAGTACGGGGCTCGAGAGCTTGGGCGCGGGTGCTGCTGGGCCGGTGCAGGAGTATGTTGATGCGAGACGGGCGAAGCAGCTCGATGTTGGGCCGAGCAGCAACCAGGGCGGTGGATTTGGAAAGACGAGTACGTGCACGACATTTGCTATACCCTTCCTTTACGTCTTGAGATGCTAACAACTTGGTTTCAGACTGGGAACTCGAGATTCGGAAACGGTATACCTCGGCCCTCTACGCCGAGACACACGAATTCCCCACCGCGACGACGATATCCTACCGCCTCCTACCAATATGCTACGAGTTCGGACTGCCTCAAGGCCATACGTCCGACTGCCCAGACTATCTCAACATCGCTACCGAGACATACATCAAAGAAGCACTGGCAAACTTACTAGGTAAAGTGAGCAGTAACGGCCCTGGATACGTGCGCACAGGCGAATTCAAGAAGAAGCTCGCGCGAGAGGAAAGACTAGTAGACCGCGGCGAGCTAGCCCGAGGCATCGGCGGCGAACTCCCCGTCGAAGCAGAAGAGCGACGAAAGCGGAAACTCCTGTGTATGGAGGACTTGAGACTCGCGCTGGAACTCGGAGACTCGTACCTCGGACAAACACCACTGATTGCGGGATCGATAATGAACTCGAGGTTTCTGGATACGCACGGCATCGAGGACATTTACAATGCGCCCGCGAAACCGCTTACGAATGGTACTCTCACTAACGGTATCAATGGCATTGCGAACGGGACTAAGCACGACCTCAACGGCGAAACTTGGACGATTGACTTTGGCGACCCGATGCAGATTGATGATGAAGTGGGTATGCACTGGCAAGGAGGTAGTGTACAAGATATGCAGGAGATGGACGATGCGCTTGACGATATTCTGAACCTCGGCGATCTATAGGAAGGTCTTGAAGTTGGCTCTGGCGACCCGGTGCAGATCGATGACGAAGTGGACATGCACTGGCAAGGAGGCAGCGTACAAGACGCGGAGGAGGTGGACGATGCGCTTGACGACGATATTTTGAACCTCGGAGACCAATCGGAAGGTCATGGACGTGGCGACCCAACGCAGATCGACGATGAAGTGGGCGTACACTGGCAAGGAGACAGCGTTCAAGACGGGCAAGAGATGGACGATGCGCTTGACGATATTCTGAACCTCGGCAATCTGTAGAAGGGTCATGAAAGCGAATGATAGAGGGAACGAGCATGGAGGCGTTTGTGAGCTTCGGCATTTGGGCGGCGCATGTGGGATTTGCATTTCGGTGTCTGGGTGTAGCTATGGGATGATACCCTGTCTTTTGCTTGTTGTCTCGTTGAGTTGGTGGTCGGCATTATGACTCGCGATGTATCTCGCTGAGCATTGTTACTTTTGTAGTGAATGGAGACCAGATATATCTCAGTGTCGAGCGCATGTTGCATGAAACGTCGTCATTTCATTGCATGATAGCCCGGCAATCCCATACCATAACCCTCTCGTCCCACCCCGTACTAGCACACCAGCCCTCTGCGCCAAACAAACACCAATCAACGCCTGTGACGAACTCGGTATGCCTCCCCATTCTCCCCATTTCCCTACCCCCGCCATAAAACATGGGATCCTCCAGCATATTCTCCTGCTTCACACTCCCCACACCCATAGCACTCCCATCCGTCCACACCCGACACGTCATATCGTAACTCGCACTAAGCAATATATCGCTCAAATGCGGACTCCAACTCAACTTCCGAACCGCATACTCGTGTCCTGGTAAGACAGCAACAGGCCCCTGCTGTGGCATCCTGATATCAAACGTGCGTATCACGCGATCCACCCCTGCGGTTGCAACGATAGTATCCCTATATTTATTCCAATCATGCGTCAGCGCCTCCGCAGGCGCAACACCCACGCCCGGCGCATGTCCCATCCTCGCTTTCGGCGGCTGATGAATCGGCACACTCATCGTCAGATGATTACTCGCACTCGCCGGCGTCCTCAGATCGAAAACCCTCAAATGGCTATCACTACTCACACTTGACAGCACACTCGGACTGTGCGGACTGAAACTCGCACTGTAGGTACATGAATGCGTCGGCAGCGTGGTTATACTCGCATCGGCATTCGGGTTCCAGATCTTGATTGTGCCGTCCCAGGATGAGGATAGGAAAGTGTCTTTGGACACGAGGTTCCAACTGACGGCGAAGACTTCGCGCGCGTGCTCTTGCCAGGATGCGATGGGGAAGTTGGGCACGTTTATGTCGAAGAGTTTTACCGAGCCGTCGCCGCCCGCGGTGAGGAGTTGGGACTCGTGCGCTTCGGACCAGGTGCTGTCGAAGAGGGAGTCTTGCGTGTCGAACCTGGGGACACGGGTGGGTTAGCATGTGACAGTAAGGTGGAAAGGTGGAAGAGGGGTGATGGAAGTACCATTTCTCGGCTACGATGCCATTCGCTGTAAGGCCTAGTATGTACAGGCGTCCGTTTCCGACGAGCCCGAAGTTGGCGGATGTTGCGACGGCGATGCGCGAGTCGAAGAAGGGGCTGTATTTGACCGAGTAGCCGTTGAAGCCTTGGGTGCGGAACTCGAGCATCGTGGGTGGTGAAGGTGGGGCTGGGATTTGGGATTACGGCGCGTGGAAAATGGGTATGGTACGGCGCGTCATGTCGCGCCGGGACGTGGAGTGGGTGTTGTGCTGCAGCATGGTTGCGGATGACGAGGTGTCGGTTGACCGAGGCGCCTTTGGATTCTGGCGGGGCTGGTGTGGCGCCGGAAGTTGTCCCGTGACAGCGCGTCTGCTTGTACGCCAGTCGCCACTGTCGAGGAGGCCTTTTCACTTTGTTGATGCGACTATGTGCGCCATTTTAACCCACCACAGTCGGTATGGACGCGTTCGTGTCGCGCAAGAGGAAGTGGGATGAGGGGCCGCCCAGGTCCGTGGCGAGTACAGGCAAGCGGCCTTCAGAGGCTAGAGACCCAGAAGAAGAGTCTACCGATTTCAAGTTGGCCTTGTTGGCATCTCTACATCCTACAGTTGATGAGGGGACTCTACTTGAAGCATTGCTTGCTGCTGAAGGGGCCGTTGAACAAGCCTCGGAGTGTCTATCGCGACCTCAAGTTACTTCCCCACGCAAGCGACCCGCATCATCGACAGTGGGCTATCAATCGTCACTGAGCTCGTATCGCATTGCTCCCGCCAACAGCACGTTGACCAAGAAGCCACTTGTGAGAAAGGGCAAGACACTATTTCTCTATAGCCCAGAAGACATCGAAGTACATACGCCTTGTTCAATCATACATAACTTTCTTCCGGTAGAGCAAGCGGATGCACTGCTGTCACAATTACTGGACGCCTCGTCGACCTACGACAGGTACGAGTTCAAGCTGTTCGACAGAGTTGTTGTAAGCCCGCACACATACTCCTTCTACGTCAACAGCTTAGAAGAGGCGGAAAGACAAAAGACGGAATACATCTACAACGGTGGCCAGATCAAGGTAAGACCGCTGACAAGAAACACCACCAAGATGCTAATTCCACCCAGGATGTCCGACAAAGCCTCCCAGAAATGCTCAACGCATGCCCCCAAGTCGAAGACGCCGTCAACCGCGAAATCCGCCGCAGAATCCGCGACTTCTACCCCAACGGCAAGAAACTCAGATACCAATCCCCTCACCCCTGGAAAGCAAACACCGCCTTTGTAAACTGCTACGACGGACCACAAGAAAGCGTCGGATACCACGCCGACCAACTCACCTACCTCGGTCCACGAGCCGTCATCGGCAGTCTAAGCCTCGGCGTAGCGCGCGAATTCCGGGTCCGCAAGACCGTCGCCGAAGACGACGAGCACCGAAAAGACGACGGTTCACGCGCGGACGCACAAGGCCAAATCAGCATTCATCTTCCACACAACTCGCTCCTGGTCATGCATGCTGAGATGCAAGAAGAATGGAAACACTCGATTGCGCCGGCCCAAGCTATCGATCCTCACCCACTTGCGAAGAACAAGCGTCTCAATATTACGTATCGGTTCTATAAGGATAGCCTCCATCCGAGGTATACGCCAAAATGCAAGTGTGGCGTTCCGACTGTGTTGAGGTGTGCGACGAGGAAGAAGGAATCGAGGGGGAGGTATATGTGGATGTGCCATGCGGGTTATGTGCCGGGTCGGGAGAGTTGTGGGTTTTTTCAGTGGGCGGAGTTTGATGAGGATGGAGAGCCGCCTTGGGCGTCGAAAGTTATGAAGGAAAATGAAGGGTTGAGTCAGGATGGACAGGTTGTGAAGACGGCGATTGATAGTGGTGTCTTGGCACATGCCTCTTGAACCGAAGGCAGCGCCTTCTATCCATCACCTGAACATGAGAACTATTTATGGCGAGATCCGGATCGTAAGGCGCGACTCTCGACGACGACGCAAGCGCAGCTGTAGTCCGCATCGTACCTCGCTTGTCATTACAAACAGACCCAAACCTCTAACGTCGAGTTGCAACGACCTCCATTGTCAAGCACTCATATTGTTTCGAACAGTACATTCTCATCGGCAAGCTTTACTACGAGCATCCATATTGCTACACTCGGTGCATTGTCGTCAGCACGCTTTACTCTTGCCTCGCGACCGAGAAGTCACCCGAACCTACTCTACCGTCTAACCTCACAACCATGCCACCTCTCTTCCCCCACCAAGCGGTCATGTTTCGGCCATCGACACCCATGCCGCAACCCAACGAAGTACTCGACAGTATCCTCACAGGCTATCTCTGGGGTTGTCTTCTGATAACTCTGTTCCTCTTCACGTACTTCGCCATCAGCTTCTGCGCCTGGGTTCTCTCAGCAGTCTTGGCTTCGATCGACACGATTGTTGACTTCGTACGGATGTACTGCGAGTTTTCGGATGCTAGTACCGATGTCGAGATGAGCGGCGACTGTTGGCTGGAGAAGTACACGACTGAGAGGGCGGAAAAGCTCAACAGAGCAGATGAAATCACCAGGCTCAAGTGCACACTGCACGATCATGACAGCGCCCTCCCAGACGCACACTCAGCCAACGAAAAACCCATCCTGCACCTGTCCAACACCGACACGAACTTCCCCAACCCCCCCTCGAAGTCCCCTACACCCCCGCCCCTTTCTTAACATACTCGTCCAACCAACCCACCGCCTGCAAAAAAGCCTGTTCTTTCGCGAACCTCGCCTTCGCATGCGACAAATCCCCTTTAACACCAAACCCATGCTCGACATCCGAATACAGGAACATTTGGTACGGAACGGTGTGGTCTTTGAGGATATCCTCTGTCTCGCGCCGCTTCTCAGCTGGGAAGATGGAATCGGTTTCTGCGTTGTTGTTGGTGGTATCGTTAGTGCGTTCTTTTTGTTTATGTCTTTGTCTCGACAGTTTGGTTTTTTGGAGTAGGTGGGATGACTGAAATGAATGGAAGGAATGAAACGCGAATGTTACAATTGAAAGTCATACCTGCAGCAGCAATACTCAACGGCCCCCTAATACCCCTAACTTCATCCTTATCCACAAAACTAGGATGCGCAGTAAACCCCGCGTCAATCCCCCCATTCCCCAACCCCCCTTCTTTCAAAAACCGACACACGTATTTCCCGCCAAAACAATATCCCACCCCACCCAACCTCTTGATCCCCAACTCATCCCTCAAATGCTTAATCACATTCTCAAACATAGGATCCACAGTATCAGTCTTCGGCATCGTCGTTCTGATATACTCCTGCAAGTCAAACGACTCCGGGGCCGGAAACGGCACTTCGCTCCCGTTGAAGACGTCGGGGATGACGGTTAAGTACCCGTTTTGGGCGAACTGGTCGGCGATGAGTTGGATGTTGGGGAAGTCCATGCCGAGGACGTCGGTCATGATGAGGATTGCGTTTGAGGGGGAGGGGTTGTTGGGGGGGTAGGTGGTGTATGTGCGGACTGGGGTGTGGGTTAGATGATATGATTTGCAAACTGGAGGTGAGTGAAGATGTACTGTTGTCGATATATTTGATTTGCCCTTGTGGAGTGCCTTCGTGCTTTACGCCGACGATGCAGCAACGCTGCATTGGGTTGGATGCCATCGTGAGGGGTTGGGACGAGAAGCAGGTTGTGAAGAATGAGCGCTGTTTTTAAGCATTTGTATGTCGTTCCCTCATTGTGACTCAAAACCTGATGACGAAGTTCAGCTATGAGTCGGATATAGCGCCCCACCCTGGAGTGCAGCTCGGAAGCGGTTAGCGACAGGGGTTCTTGCGCCCTAGGATGTACACTAATAATTATCTCCGGATAGGAGTTTCCAGGGTATTTCTATCATGAATTGCTGTTGAGCTATTAGATGGCTTGTTGTGTTAGGCCTGAAGGGATGATCTTCGGAGTGGGTAGGCTTCAGCTAGTTGGTACGCAACACGGGACAGTTCTTGCCGCAGGCATTGTTGGTTTGTTGAAAGTTAAACGTTCGTAATTACAAAACTTCTATGTATCCCATATGTACATATCTAATTCAAAAACTGAGCATGTTAGCACGCACGAGCTTGCTCTTTTCTGTGATCACACATACCTCGTTTTCTCGTCTGCAGAGGTGTGACTCCTCAATGTCTCACTCGGCTGACACTTCGCCTTGTAACCCTTTCGTCCACATAACCACTTCCACGTGGGTCAATGTAGCTGGTCCTTGCTGGCCTGACAATCTCAACGTCGCTAATGCGTCGCCTGGATACACTCCTCGCCCGACTCCTCGCACGGCTCCTTGCACGTATGCGAGGCTCTTCGACGTACTCAATAGCACGGGGACGAGATCGCGATCGCCTGGATGATGTGAGTGTGAGACACAAATGGTGCCATTGAAGTTACTACGAACCTATACTCGACGTAACGGCCGTCGTCGCTGAAGCTCTCGACCGATGTCCGGCGCCATTCGCGCGGCAGACGCATCACGCCGGCTGGTGTATGAGACGTGTAGTTGCCTCGTCGGGGAGGTGGCTCAATGACGGTACGACCGCGCGTTTCGTAAGACCGCATGAGACACATGTTGATGGTGTTTGATGTCTTTGCTCTTCCGCAATGAGAATGGTGATGATGATGTTGAGGATGTAGGCTACCGGATGCCGGGTTCCCGGGTGATGACGTTGTACAGCGAACGACGCGACAGCGAACGAGGGAAGCGAATAGCGTCCAGAATGGGCGATGTGCGAGACAGAGAGTCAATGATGCAGGATGTGCTTGTATATCAGTTCAGTCTTGAAGATATCTCAACGCGACTTGCAACGCGCGGAAATGACGTGCGCCAAGGGTTTGCTGGGGCATTCCAAGGTTGTTTGGTTTGCCAGCCTCTTCAATTCGCAACCAGATATTTCCATGCAGTCAGCGGTGAATTGCAAGCATGCGCATGTGATTCTGGGATGTATCCTTGATCGAAGGAGCTATTTGCATAGTGATCTCGGCGGTATTTCGTTCTAGACCTGGCCTCGATGATGGAATGCGATGTTGGCTGAGCATGCAGCAAAGCCAGACTATCAGCAAAAGGAACGCGGATCATGGGTGCTGACATGTAGAGCTGGTACCTGGAGTAACATGTGAAGATGTTCGTTAGCTACCCCCAGGTGAGCTGTCATGAAGGAGCCACCCCCACCTGCCCCGCGACTCGTGGCTGGTCGCGGAAACGTAGGCGGTGACGACGCAGAGGCCACCGCCAACGCTGCCAGCTACAGGCAGACATCCTCTGCAATTGACGTAACCAATTCCTTTTGCTACTCACTGTCTTTTGAACTGCGCGCACAATGTCTCTAGTATCAGGTATGAGCTCCAGATAGCTTCTGCATAGCAGCTACTAACCGTAAACAGACGCCATTTGGGCAGCGTCCCCCTCGACAACGCGCGGACAGGCAACACCGCTCTCCTCGGACCCCAAGGGCGAACGGATTGCCTATGCCGTGAGTCTCCCAACTACCCAGAGCTTTCGCGGAGCTAATTGAGTATCCAGTCAGGTAAATCCGTCTTCCTGCGCTCCATCGACGACCCGGCTGTCAGTAAACAATACACCCAGCACACGACACAGACGACTGTCGCCCGCTTCTCGCCCTCAGGCTTCTACGTTGCTAGTGGGGATGTCTCGGGTACCGTCAAGGTGTGGGACTGCGCCGGTGAAGGAGCTACAAAAGGTGGGTGAGGCATAGCAGGACATGGAGCGAGGAAGCTGACGCGGTGCAGGCGACTACCACATTATCGCAGGCCGCATCAACGACTTGGCATGGGATGGCGACTCGCAGCGCATCATAGCTGTCGGCGACGGCAAGGAGCGCTTCGGCCACTGCATCACGGCAGACAGCGGCAACAGCGTGGGCGAAATCTCAGGCCACTCGTCACAGATCAACTGCGTGTCTATCCGCCAGCAACGACCCCTCCGCGCCGCCACGGGCTCCGACGATACCAGCCTGGTCTTCTACCACGGCGCTCCCTTCAAGTTCAACACCAGCCTGAGAGGACAGCACAACCGCTTCGTCTTCGGCACCGCCTTCTCCCCGGACGGTTCCGTATTCGCAAGCGTCGGCGCCGACAAGCGCATATGGCTATACGATGGCAAGACCGGCGAGGCAAAGGGACAGATTGGCGAGGGTGTACATACTGGCAGCATCTTCGGCGTGTCGTGGTCCAAGGACTCAAAGAAGTTCGTCACAGCCAGTGCGGACCAGACGGTCCGGATATGGGACCCGGAAGCAGGCAAAAACATTCAGACCTGGAGGATGGGCGAGGAAGGCGTCGCTAGCATACCCGACCAGCAGGTCGGTGTGGTATGGCCCACCGGCCGCAGTGATGGTCTGATCGTCAGTGTGGATCTCGAAGGAAACCTGAACTACCTCGTCGACGGCAACCCAAAGCCAACGCGCATCATCCGTGGCCATTCCAAGAACATTACATCGGCTGCCATAGCTGGATCTACTTTCGCCACGGGAAGCTATGACGGCCGTGTCCTCGCATGGGACACCACCACTGGATTGGCTGACAAGGTCGAAGGCGCAGCACATTCCAGCTACGTCGCCGGCATCACGACTTCCGACAGCAAGAATGAGGCGGAGTTGTACAGTGTTGGCTGGGACGATACATTACGCTCCATGTCCGTTCCGGACAAGATCTTCACTGGCGAGGCACACGATCTCAAGTTCCAACCCAAGGGCGTTGCCGCGACATCGAGCACCGTGCTGATTCCTTCTACCGACGCCATCGCAGTATACTCCAAGGGGGCCCAGGTCAGCTCGTTACCGGTCAAATTCGCCCCTACCTCAATCGCAGCGCACGGCTCTACCGTTGCTGTTGGTGGAGACGACAAGCTAGTGCACATCTACACCCTTTCTGGCACTGAGCTTAAGGAGACCGACACAGTACTCCGCCGTGCAACAGCTCCCATCTCCGCACTCGCCTTTTCTGCCTCAGGCAAGAAGTTAGCAGTGGGTGCTGGAAACGGCAAGATCTACGCATTTGAGGTAGGCGGAGACTGGAAAGTCATCACGGACAGATGGAGTGCCCATACTGCACGCATCACCTGCCTGGCCTGGGACGAGAGTGAGAACTACGCCGCAAGTGGCAGTCTGGACACCAATGTTATGGTCTGGAGCACAGAAGACCCTGGCAAGCGTATCAAGGCTCTTAACGCTCACAAGGATGGCGTCAATGGTGTCGCTTGGGAGAAGGGTCTCAAGGTCATTTCGGCGGGAGGCGATGCTAGCATCAAGGTGTGGAGCGTGAAGGCGTGAGACGTCAACCAATAGTCGAAAGATGAGCAAAAGAAATTAACGATCCATCATGGTGTGGATGACAAGAACTTGATTCAATTCAGATTAGGGAGTGATGGCTAGCTTTTGAAGGACCTCGACGAAAGGTGAGGCGGTCGGGTGCGCCTGCCCTTTTCTGCTTGCATGTGATTGTGCGGCTACTTCCAACATACCCCTCCAACTTAAATTCCATGCCAACTCCTCAGCCTTCTCACCGTGCAGATAGTACTCGCATGTCGCAATCAATGTGCCCAATCACAAGCATTGGGCTATCGACTGCTGTTGCAGTCTGCATGCAGCCCTCACAGCCAAAAGACCCGCGTAAGCCCCATTTGCCTAGTTTGCCTTGGAATTCGGTATGCCTCAGCGCG